AGTATATCACTTTGTCGTCTATGCGCTTAGTCTGTTTATAAGCCTATAAACACATCTTTTCTTGGCGGAAGTAACTATATTTTTTCGAATGCGTTTTTTTCCACCCACTTTCAAAATTTGACGCGGGATCGGCGCCCCCATTTCGTTTTTGCGCCCCCAAAAAATTGCCAGCTGGGAGGGGGGAGGGGCGTGGCCCCCGGCCCACCTGTCAGCATGCCACTGGTTTCACCTCAAAAAACCCACAACAGTTTTGGATTATCAGGGTAAATAAACTTCCCGGTTAGATCGCGAGACACGGAACCGTATAGATCAATGAATATTGATAGGTTTTTATTCGATCTAGTAAGTAATTATAATGAATAACAATTGTAAGTATAGAATAACAAATAGTGCCTGATATATACCTGTGCGCTCTCTTCGAGTAATATACCGCATAATTTCAATAAATGAGACTTACTTCTTTGCCAGGTCTTCGCAATCTAGTCTTATTGATACTGAATATACAAATACACATACAAATACACGTTAGCTTCAACACAGGTTAGCATATCTCCTTCATTTAACACTATAAGTCTCTGTCTGAATCTATCTGAATAAATGTGCGTCAAATTACGTGTCAATCAGGTTAATGTCATTAGTCATGCATTACTATATTTAGTTAATAATTATCCCGTAAAATATATAAAGTTCTGTCAGCGACACAAGTTTGTTTCATCCGTATTCCATATAGGAATCATCAGGTGGTGAGTAATTTCGAAAATATAGGTTATGGACCACCTGATAATTCCTATATGGATTGTTGTGTGTATATATATATATATATATATATATATATATATATATATATCTTTTATATAAGTAGTATATATATATATATATATATATATATATATATATATATATATATATATATATATATATATATATATATATATATATATATATATAGAACTCGTTAAGAAAATGGACTCTGCATGAAAAAAGTAATATTAATTGGAGATTTCAACTGTGATTGGTCTCAGATTGCAAACAAGCATGCTAATTCACAAACAAAGAAACTTGTAGAACTCTCTAAAACCTTGCAATTTGAACAATTAATCAAAGAACCTACGCGAGTAACTGAGATCGCTAAAACACAAATTGATTTAGCTTTCACAAATAAACCAGAAAATGTTTTTATTTTTGGTGTGGATCATATAGGAATTAGCGACCATAGTCTTATCTCTATTCAAAGAAAAATTTCGATACAACGAAAACACCCAAAATAATTAAAGCAAGGCAATTTAAAAATTACATGTGGGATAATGTGGGATATTATCCCACATTTAAAAATGTGGGATAATGGAGACACATATTTCTCACGGTGGCCGATAGGCATGCACCACCGATCACTAGAAAAAGTAAGAAGCGAGTATGCTCCATGGATTACCAGTGAAATTAAAAATTTGATGCACCGTAGGGACTTTTTGAAAAGAAAGAAAAACTAAAGTAAAAACTGGATCAAAACAATTCCATGACGCTTTTGTCAAAGAGCGAAATGAGCTTAACAAACTGATAAAAAGAACTTAAGGCCCTATCACACTATTGCGTATGAGAGAAACGTATAAGAAGCGTATGAAAATTAATGAAGTAATTTCATACGCACCAAAATCCTTTGAAATGCCAGCGTATGAGTACCGTACATCTGGCGTACCTCTAGCGTATTCAGCGTGTGCCTAGAGTATGCTCATCGTATAAAGCATACGTCCAATACGCACAAAATATTTGAACATGCTTAAAAAAAATTTTCTGCCTCGCCGTATGCCAGCGTATGTCACCGTACGCGACCGTTCTTGAAACGTATACAACCTATGCCTAACGTACCCCTAGCGTATGTCAGCGTATACCGGCGTATGAATGATATTTCTCATACGCTGGCATACGCTAGTACGATACGCAATAGTGTGACAGGGCCTTAATGTAGGTCAAATTTTCCATTGCTTTATAACGCACTTTTTACTTACCAGTGAAATTAAAAATTTGATGCACCGTAGGGACTTTTTGAAAAGAAAGGCAGTAAAAACTGGATCAAAACAATTCCATGACGCTTTTGCCAAAGAGCGAAATGAGCTTAACAAACTGATAAAAAGAACTAAGGCCGAGTATTTTACAAACACCTTTAATAAATTAACTTTGAAATAAATGATAGCGATATTAATTTTATTTTATTACAACGACGTTTCGATGCTTCTTGCATCATTTTTCAAGTTATGTTTTCAAGTTAAGTTGAAAATGATGCAAGAAGCGTCGAAACATCGTTTGTTAATATCGCTATCATTTGTTTCAAAGTTAATTTCACAATAGATTTTAATAAAGAACCCTTAATAAATGCGAAAATAAACCAAAACGGATGTGGAAAACAATTAATAAGCTTACCAACAAAAGTTCGAAAACGACTATTATTACAGAAGTTAAGCATGAAAACAAAGTGTTACATGCAGATGCTTCATCTATATCAAATACCTTTACTTACTTTAAATTTAGCCAGCAATGTGGAACAATCTTCAAATTCACCTGAGACATATCTTCCGAACTGTAATTCACAGTTTCAGATGCAGAAACCTACTGTAATAGACGTTCATAAACTACTATCCTCTACTGATGTCTCTAAGTCAACAGGGCATGATGGAATATCTAACAAACTTCTAAAAGACTTAGCTGATATAATAGCTTATTCACTTACATTAATTTTCAAAACTTCTATAAATACAGGTATATTCCCAAACGATTTCAACACAGCAATAATCTCACCAATACATAAAGCAGGGTGCAAGACAGAATGCAATAACTACAGGCCAATTTCAATCCTGTCAAGCGTTGCTAAAATTGTCGAAAATCTTATCACCCAACAGCTGGAAACTTATCTTGAAAAGAATGAGATACTAGTACAACAACAAGCTGGCTTTAGGAAAATAAGAACTGTACTCAAACTTCTCCCCTTAACATCACAAAGCAATGGATTATTTACATGGATAAGGGAAGTTTGAACGGCGTTAACTCCTTGATCTAAAAAAGGCATTTGACTGCGTTGATCATAGTATTTTACTAAGAAAACTTTACCATTTATGGAATAAGAGAAAAATCATTTGAATGGTTCCAGTCCTATCTTTCTGATAGAGTTCAAATATGCAAAGTTAACCAAACATTGTCTAATAAAAAAATTGTTAAATGTGGTGTGCCACAGGGTTCAAACCTTGGGCCATTATTGTTTTTGTTATACATAAACGATCTTCCAAACTGCCTGTCGTCATCGTCATAGCATGTTCGCCGATGACACAAATATTTCTACATATGGCACATCGGCGGTATAGAAATCCAGGAGCACTTAAATCATGACTTAGAGAGTACACATCAGTGGTTGTTGGCTAATAGACTTACTTTGAATAAAGAAAAGACCGAATACATGATAATTGGATCTAGACAAAAGCTATCCAAAATAATAAACAAGCCGAAATTTCACGTAGGTGAAACAACAATTAAACGAGTAAGCTATTATAAAACTCTAGGTGTTGTTTTAGACGAACATCTCACTTGGCAAAGGCAAATCGAAAATATACAGACTAAAATTTCAAGAGGTATCGGCATGTTGCGCAGAATAAAAAAATAGTTCCAAAAACAACATTGATAAAAGTTTACAACGCCATTATACTACCACATTTCGACTACTGCAGCCTTGTATGGGACAATTGTAGTGATTACTTAATTGACAAATTCCAAAAAAAATGCAAAACAGAGCAGCACGTGTAATTACTAGTAAAACGTACGATACAAGATCATGCGATGTTTTAAAACAACTACAATGGCAACCTTTGAAAGAACGTCTTTAGCATAAGAAACTATTTTTTATGCATAAGATTAGGAATAACAAATTGCAAATTAGCACAACAAATAGTTTGATATCAAAACAAACTAACTGTATAATCTCCGTAGCAACAACCGAGATTTCAGCCTTGATAAACCAAATACGAATTTTATGAAAGAAAGCATAAGCTATGCAGCTTCTTCGGCCTGGAATAATTTGCCTCCAAAGGCCAAAAGTTTAGGCATTAGTAGCCAGAAGTTCAAAACTATTCTTGATCGTTATTCTCCACAATGATATACTATATTGTATAACGGTTCTCTATTGTGATTAGTTCGTTTAAAAGGGGGTTGGGTAAGTTTATATGCATTATGTAATTTCATGCATGCTTCTAGCTTTTTTTCTCTATTGTGTAGGACTCATGCTTGTAACTTGCACCTGTATTCTTCATATTTTGTAACTGCTTTTTTTGTCGAACGGCCTCTTGAAAAACAGGTGCGTATGTGCCCTGAAGAGCTACGGTTTTTAAATAACATTAAATAATAATAATAATCATAATAATAATAATAATAATAATAATAATAATAATAATAATAATATTAATAATAATAATAATGAAAACTTTATTAAATGTTTTTCTTTACATACATATACAATCGTAAATCTCTCTCATAAAGGTAACTTACGGTTGGCTATTTGAATCACACAATACTAATCTAAAATAACAGAACAAAGTGCATGCAATATATATATATATATATATACAATCAGATAAGTCAAATTGTTAGTAAATCCGGATTTTCCCATTCTTTATTTCGGCAGCAAAAAATGTAATATGTAGTTCTAATAGCAATAGTAATCATTTTCTTAACGCAGTACATTTGGTGGTTTTTGTCAAGACCAATACTTTCTAACATGTCTAAAAATGTAGAACATTCTTCTGCAAAAATACCTAAAGAGCTGATAGAGAGATTTATAAATTTAACTTGGTTACAATTTTTACCTAGCTGTCTCAATAATTCTCTATATTTATCCTTCTTCCGTTTTACGTTGTTCTTGAGGTTTGTCTCATAACCAGTGGTGAGTTCGACCACATATAAGGAACCATTTGAACACGATAATAACAAATCTGGGCGATACGTATCACCAGTAAGTATTGAAGGGCTTTTGAATCCATGTGGATCAGCGTAGAGAGTAGAACCGTCAACAGTTTGTAAAGTATTAGCAAGAACGTTCAGGACTGAATTGTGTCTGCACGTAAATCGGTCGAGATATATATAATACTGACATCCAGCTACTATGTGTAGTAATGTTTCAGGGCTTAGACAAAAAGAACAGTCTGCATTTGAAGATATTGCCCATCTGTTTAGGTTTTTGCGCGTCGGAAGAGAGTTGTTAATGTAACGAATGGTAAAGTTGCAAATGTTTTTCGGGAGCTTTGATTGGGCGATGGACCACACCTTGTTAAGCTGGGGTAAAGCGAACTTCGTGACGCTGCAGAAAAAGGATCCTTGACTGGTTAATTGGTTCAGGAGTTTGTTTTCGTGTCCAGAACGAAAATCTTTGAGAACTTCCTTAGCAGAGCTATAAGCGTCATATTGGATATTAGTATGGTTACTGGTTGCTTTCCACAGGTCGTTAGTTGATTCATTAGGAGAAGATTTTAAAGCTTTTCGGAGGATTGTTTGACACTGGATAAATTTTACAGATGGAGGATAAATACTCAGGCCAAATTTGTTATTTGTTAGAAAGACAGTACTTAGTGTTCCTGATATTGGTACATCAAGCCATCTGCG